GGTCACCTTAACGATACATCATGACCACTGTATAAGTGGCTCTACTCATTTGAGCCCTACTCAAATCAACTTGATGTTTTGTTGAAATATTCAGCTGTGATATTTAAACAATTTATGCAATTCTTTCTGTCTGACAAGCAGGAACGATAAAACATGGATATGGTAGTGGAAAAAAAGGTAGGAAGCATTTCCAGCAGCCACACACATCTTTTTGTTTGAATAATTAAGTCAAACATGGAGGAGAGCAGTCACATACGACAGTTTGCAAGAGGAACACAAAAAATGTATTCTATTGGTCGAACTAATTCTGACCCCCACTCTCGCCATTGTGCACTATGGGCACAAATGGAGAGCAGTGATTTTCTGCTGTGAAACACCTTTAACAGGCAGCTGCTCAGAATCGGCCAGCTCTGTGATGGGTTTTTGCCTGTGGTTCTCTAGGGCTGGGCACGACGACGCTTGATCATGTCTTTACTGCCTAACACAAACAAGCTGCCTGGATTGTGAATATATAGTGCAGGTAGTGGTCACACAGTTTGTGGGTCTATCTGCAAGATTGTTAACTTGACTACATGGTGAAAATCATTCCTTGAGGCTGGCACCTTGCACTGATTTGTGTGTATATGAGGGGTGTGCATATATGCATGGCTGAGTTATGGATTCAGGCACGCTCTCTCTCTCTCTGCAGTCCTTTCGTCTTATTTTTTTCGGGAGCTCTAAACCGAGAGGACACGAGCTGAGGGCAAAAATAGAAACCAGCAGAAAGTCTGTGGGAACACAAATCCTCAGTCTCACTCAATATTTATATGGAAACACATGTTGCTCAAAGTTTAATAGATTGTTTATCCCTCTGTTTGTGACTGTAGGTAGAAAATGGCTGCTGTGAAGTCTGACCAGCTCTGGGAGGTAAATAATAAGGAATCATGCCTCCTCTGCCCTCTATCATAATTACATTCATTGTACTTGTTATTGGACAAGGAGAATGGAGTGTGTGAGCCGGAGACTTTGGCCCAGATGCAAGCTGTGTGAGTGAGTAATCCTCTGCTGTGCCGGCATCTTTATCTGTTGTAGTGGAGTCCAAAAAGATGGTAGGCCCATGTTCCTCAAGTCTCTGTGACACATCTGTTCAATTAGCAGCGCTGACCAAAACACACTTTGTCAAACACTGACTCCTCTTTTTCTCTTTTTCCCCAGCAGTCGGGCTCCATAATGAAACCTGGAGCTGGCTACAGACCGGTGCACACACAATGACTAACACAGAACATTACAAAAATATACACAAGCGACTTCACACATCAGGCTGCCTACACAAACACGAGGTACTTAACTTTCATTTCACAGTCTAGCTGCATGACTGAACTCCTGACGGGTAAACAGAACAACTCTCAATTTCATTAGGAAGCTCTTTGTCAGCTCATCATCAGTTCTCCACAGCCCAAAGTCTACTTCTTCGACTCTGAGAGGGATATTCAGCAGGAGAGAACAGATCTTTTTGATCCTTTGATAAGTCAGGTATTTGATGTACTTTAGTGTACATAGTGGGAAATACCACACAGAATGATATATTTTTGAAGATTGCTCAACTCTGAAGCAAGACTTTTTCTATCCAATAGATCCAGGAATTAAAGAGAATACCAGTGTACCATTTACAGTGAAGTTGTAACTCCTGACAAGCTCAGGTTAAAACATTCTTCTATATACCACAGAGAACCGAGAGGAGCACACATTTCAGCCAAAATCATTTTTAGATTACCACACAAGCTCTGAAAATAGAGATCCCAAACAAAGAATTTAAGCAAGCTGTATTCATTGTATCTTTGTCTTATTGATAAAAATACTCCATCCATCCATCCATCCATCCATCCATCCATCCATCCATCCATCC